GCTGAGAGACTGATCCGTCAGTATAGATAACTACAGAAGAGAGTCATATGATTGCTCGTAGATTTGAGGTTTGATTGATTTAATAATATATTGATAAAAATTAGAAAAAGAGTTAGCTAGTTGCATTTGAGAGGACCTTCATTGATTTGAGAGTATATCTCTAATTGAGAAAAAGAGAATAGTAAGTATCAAAAATAAATCAATTGGATTGGGCTAGTGATTTTAAGATGAATTTACTAGCAAGCCACCGGCATCGTATGTTGAAAGGGGGACAAGTGGACTCGACTTCGATAGCTGGTCGAGGGGTGGATCTAATGTAACCCACAATTGTTGTAAGACTTGAAATTTGAAGCTTATTAATTTTATTTAAATTTGTGAGAGTCCGAACCGAAAAGGAAGCAACCATAATCCAGTTTAGAACGTATTATTGATCTGTATATTGATAACAGACATTGAAAGTGAGAACCTCAATACGTATTGCAGACAGGCTTGAGAAAATTTGACCAATGAGAGGTAAAGGCAGATAGGGATAATAGGCGGGGTTGCCAACGAAGCTTAGGATCACCTACCAAGGTAGGTGATGGAGGGAGCAAAAGGAATAGTGTATTCGTCTAAAAGGATGTTGGAAAAGTCGGCGTATCTTCGCCTGGTAAAAATGACGGATTTGAATTTTTCTGGAGCGATTTCAAGAGATAGATTAGTTAAAATATTTTTTAGATCTTTAAGAGATGATTTTATACAATCAATGGCTAGGTTAAGGGACTTAATTGAGGAGAAAACGAACATATCGTTCGCATAAATAAGGCACTCATGACCTGACCTTGAAAGCTGAGTTGCAATTATGCTCATATAAACATTAAAAAGTAAAAGAGAAAAACAGATTTCTTTTGTAGTATAGATAGAACAATAAGTTCCAATTTTAGTATATGTACTGCCGAAGCAAGTACCTAACGGTTTCATCAAAAAAAAGATAGAACAATAAGTTATAGAATTTGGGAGGAGCATTTAGTGAGGTGAAGTACTTAACGAGAGTTTGAATATTGACGGAGTCAAACGCACCCCGTATGTCAATGAAAGTGGCCACAAGGAACTCCTTGTTATTGAAAGAGTGATATATATGACTTTTAAAGGTGGAAAGACATTCAACCGTACCTATCCCCTTCCTAAATGCGAAAACATTAGGTGGTAAAATGGAGTTTGATTCTAGCCACCAATCAAGCCTGGATTTTAGTATATGTTAAAATAAATTGCGGAAAGAGGTGTTGGAATTGGGTTTAGGTATTGGTATGACTCTGTAAGAATACCAAGAGGTAGGAAACTGTTGAGTTGTCAGAATTTCATTAAAAATATTTAGAAGGGGGACTAAAGTATTTGTAGGGAGGTGTTTTAAAAGGATAGGCAAGATATTGTCTAGTCCCGAAGCTTTAAATTTGCATGAGGAAATAGTAAGATTTAATTCTGGAATATCAAAATTATTCATAAGAACGTGAGGGGTAGAGAAAAAAAAAGAAAGGAAGAGTTAGGATTCTGTATCTCGGGGAACGTAACACTGGGCAACTTTGGAGTAAAAAGCATCAAACCAGTCATCGTTTTCCGGATGCTTGGAAGGATTTAGACAATTTTTAAACCACCTGGTGGTAGACCAAATGTGTTGTATTGAGCTAGAGGAGTGTAAGTCGGAACAGAAACTTTTCCACTTTTTCCTTTTTTCGGTCTTTAACAGGCATGTCGTTTGGGTGCAAATATTTTGATATTTAAGTAGGTCTATTAGACAGCCTGACCAACGAAAGGCTTTGAAATAAGAAGTTCTATTTTAATAATCACAGAGCAGGCTGCGTTCCACCACGGGGAAGAGGGTGATTAAGATTTAAGGTTGATTTTTTTAATCGGAATGGTAGAAATAACAGCATTATTTATGATGTTGGTAAAATACGAATAGGAAATTGTGAGAGTAAGAGCTTCAGGTGACGAGGAAATAGCGTCTTGGATATGGAGAGTAAAAGAGGACCAGTTTGCCTTATTAAAGTCATAACGGTTGGGGCTAAAATAGTAAGTACTAAAGTTTTGATTGGAAAAAAAGCAGTTTGCGGTTAGGCTGTTGTTGATTACAAATATGATTGGGATGTGGTCGCTACTATGAGGTTCGCTCAGTGTGCGCCATGATAGGTTCCAGAAAATATCCGAAGAACAAATAGATAAATCTATTGCAGAGTCAGCAGAGTTATGCCGTCCAACATGTGTAGGACTACCACCATTAAGTAAACAAAGACCAAACGAATGAAGGGTGTTATACAAGTAATTACCACGACGGGACATCGAATTAGACCCCCAGGCGGGATCAAAAGAATTACAGTCGTCGCAGAGTAATGAGTTCTTTGAGATCATACTACAAAGATTTTGAAATATGTGTACCAGAATATTAGAGCTACTAGGGATGTACAGGACCATAACCCGAGAGTTTATTGTGAATCAGAGGATAAAATTTTGACACCTATAAGATCAATTTGGTGGTTGGTGACAGTATCGATAGGGATTAGTTTGGCTTTAAGAGAGTTATGAATGACGACTGCAGAGCCACCGTAACCGTCCGGTCGATCTAATCAAAAAATTCGAAAATGTGGGATATTAATAGAACGTAAGGGGGTGAGCCATGTTTTCGAGAGAATGGCAATGGAACATTTTTGGTCCGCTATAAGGAATTGTAGGGAAGGAAAACGATCTAGTAAACTTCGGACGTTCCACTATAAAATATTAATATTGTTTTTGTTGAATTTAAGGGGCATCGATTTTGTATATTTTGTTATTAATTATCGTATTGATATTCCCCACTGTAAGGTTAGAGGAAAAAATAAATAAATAAATAGTTTATCTTAATAGATTAGCTATTTAGCTGTATGTTTAAAGTTAGGAGTGGAAAGTAGTGAACTTAAGGAAGATTCAATCAGAGAGTGTCCGCTCATATCTCTGGGAGCTTTATTTTTATCAACTAATAATACAGATACTACAACAATTGTTGGTGCATTATAAATTGACATCTGTGTTCTTGAGAAACTTGATGAGTGTGAATAATTTAATTAAAATTTTGCAACTCATCAAAGGACCTTGATTCTAGATTATACATATAACATTATATATAGATACATGTATAATCTAGAATCAAATAAAAATTATATATATATATATATATATAAAATAACATTATATATAGATGTATTTGAAGCTCTGTTGAGGTGATTATTTTCATCCAAAACTGTTCGCAACGATTCAACAAGACCTCTTTTTAAATTTATAATCATGCTTGTTCGAGTATATATTTGATCCGATTCTGACATAAAATATATTTGAAAAAATTTAGTATTATTTCCAATTTCGGGTCATGAACTGCCTATCAAATAATGCACTTTACCCTGGGCATGAAGTTCTCTTCAGCTATTTCGTTTGCTCCAAATTATATAATTTAAAATAGAGTATTATACCACCTAAAATTATCAAAGAAATATTTGGTGTAAAACTACTCTACCGTCAGCACAGCAAAGTCCATGAGTTTCATTTTTCAATTTTTTTTGCATGACACTTTGGTTATAATGTAGTCATTGGTTCTACTTGAAGCCCTTGAATATTTAAATATCCAAATAATCAATCTCTGATGGGTAATTAAACGCTGATTTCAAACTCAAAGCGTCAAGCCGCTGTTGTGCAAGTATTTGAGAACGTTCTGGTGTGTTCTCTTGTTGCCTTTTATTATACATTCAAGTAGCATTGGCAGTCCTTCATTGACAACTTACCCGAAACAAAAAACTCCATTAGTATGTCCAAAAAAAAGAACCAAGAGGCAGACCACGGCAGAGATTATGGGACAGAATAAAAAAAAGACTTAAAGAAAGTCAACTCATTGCTAGACATGGAAGCGGCATTGGATAGGGAAAGATGGAAAGGCATTTTAGAAGCGGCGATGGTCCTCAATGGACCGCTATAAGCCTAAGAAGAAGAAGAAGAATTAGGATGTCCAATATACTTTCAAAAATACTATCAAAAAATATTTTTTATTAAACTAAAAAAAAAAAAAACTATTTGTAACCTTGACAGCCGTAAAATTGCAAAAAAAGATTTAGAATTGTCACAAAATGAGAACATAAAAAAGGCCTTTTCTTGAATTTTTCAAGAACTTTATAGTTATTTTTTATTAACAAAAGTAGTACTAAAACCTTTAACAAACTATAGACTTAGTTATAACAGTAAAAAATTTCAGCCAAATCGGTTCAGTAGTTTTCTAAAACAAAAATAGGTAGTCTATAATAACTAAGTATAACTAAGTATACTATAACTAAGTTGGTTCACTCAATTTTATTTGCACCATCGTTCTGAGCGTAAAAACCGCTTCTGTTAAAAAAAAAATGAAGAATTCGAGTGAGCGCTAGATTTATGTCGTTTTTTTTTGTTTTCTGAAAAATAGTTGTTTTTAATTTCTCTTTTACGTGAACTCCGTCAATTTGACATTAGAGTAGTGGAAATACAAATGTAACCTAATTTTATTTGACGATAACTTCCAGAACATTCCACACATACTTAGGGAATAGGTGCACAGACCAGCACAAACGAATGGTAGAATAGTCAGTTTTTATTAATGAATCACAATACAAATGATAATCGCACGAGTATACAAGTCACCCTTGTTTCACGTTCAAACGGCCTTCGAAAGCAAACAGTAAAAATCGGGTCGACACGACAGCTAAAATTTAGATGTCGTTCTTGTGCACTTGACTGGCGTGAAGTCGATATCCATCGATGACGGAAAACGACGGTAGATAAGTAGATAAGATCTCGCGAGAACCACAGAAAACAGAATACGATAGATAGGATACCTTATCTAAAATCGTGGAACAAACTGAAGTTGACGTGCAGCGTCATATCGGTTGTGGAGGCGAACGAGCGGAGGTCACCTGACCAGCGGAGCGTGAGGGCAACAGTAGTGCTACCCCACCATCACTCTCTATGATAATAACCTTTTTGATAACAAGAAAAACAACGATGAACATTTTTTATGTGTTAAACATATTTTCTGTTCTGTGATTTTACTATTGGTTATTGTTTTTTAAAATTCACTTAAAAGTTACAATTTTAAATTACCTTAGTAAGCCAATTGTTTGCACAATCATTTCAAGATGCGCTTAAGTAACGTGTTACATTATCGAGATATGCGTCGGTACACAAAGAATCCTCTTGAGGTTCGTTTTGAAGAATTGTTGCCCTTAAAACTAAAAAACAAAGTATCGGGAAAAGGAGATAGATCTAAAGAACGTGCATGTGTTCATGAAATGTCTATTATGTTTGCTTGTTTCAAAAAAAATGAATTTGATCAGTCTCGCTGTTCAAATGAAATCAATTTGTTTCAAGTTTGTGCAAATAAACATCATATCGAGAAGTTCAAAAGAAAACAGAATATTCGAGAAGGAAATATTTCTTTAGGGAAAGATAATCTTACTCCTAGAGAAATAAATTATCTTCTGAAGAAGCATCCAAATCCATAATTTTTTTTTTTTCTTAGAAGAATATTTATACATTTAATGTGTTCATTTTTGTGCTTTGTTCATAAAAATAAATAACAACTAGAACAATCATTTTTTAATTGTTGATTTTTTATACCCTGATCAATTTTATAAATTTATTGAATTATTTAAGGATTTCAGATTTATTTATTTCTCATTTATAATAAAAAATATTCATTGGTGACACTAGTTGGCCATGTTGCGTTATATATAATATAATAATATATCAGATACAGCATATAAAATAAAAATAAATTGTTAAGCATTTTAATGAATCTAAATACAATGCATATTATAATTTAGAGATATTTGGAGCTTATTAATGAATGTCCAGGTTTTATATATATTTGACTGTGTTTCCGCTGGCTATATGAATATTGTCTAGAGTTCTATTAAATGTATGAATCGGGAATTTGGTTACTATATGAAAGATTTATATAACAAGTTGACAAATAAATAAATTACCTAACTAAAAGGTATCAAGCCAACATAATATATGATCAAATTTTTAATAATAACATTATTAGTTAATAATATATTTACTTCTGGTGATCCAACTGATATAGTTTAGTTTTTATTTAAGGGAAAAAATGGAATTCAAATATTTAGTCAATAGTTAACTTAACATTACCTCTTTAATTGAAAACAATATTTATACTTACCCCTTAACTAGAATTACTTATAGTAAAATTATTATTCTCAACATTGAAATTTTTGAAATAGGAGCAAGGAAAGAAGAAAAGTTCACAAAGATGGTTCTCTTACAGCTATTGATTATTAACAGAAAAAGGAGCACAATAGTATTAATAATAAAATACTTTTTCTAAAATAATTATTGTTTATTTACATATTCCATAATTATAACACCCCTATTACCACTATAATCTATTCAGTGAGCTGTATGTAATAGATTAAAATGACCCAAAATTATAAAAAATGATCTTAAAATATGAAAAAAAAAACTATAAAAAACTGAATAATGCAAAATAAAATAAATTATTTATATTCATATATAGACACAATTTTAACTAGAAAATTGTAAGGACGAAAAAAAATGAATGTTGATTGAAGATATTATTAATTTGACTAATGCCCCATTTTAATAATTGTTTAAATCATTAAATGCTCGTCTTCTTTTCTTTTCCATCATTTTATAACTCATCCATATTGTTAATGTCAATGAGAAATTAGTGTACCTACATTAATTATAATGTGTTTGCCTATGGACTAAAATAAAATAGATAAATAAAAACAGAAAAATAAAATAAGTAATTGATTAAAAATTAATTCATTTATAAAATAATTTAATAATTACATTTGAAATAAACTACTTTTGTTCTATAATAAATTAATTAAATAATAAGAATCAGAAAATGAAAAATAAACTTGATAATTTATTCATTATAATTTAAATTCATTATAAATTAAAAAAAACCTGTAGACACAAATAAAATATGATATATCTTATGCATAAATTGAAGTAAAATAATTGGTAATAATTTGTATAAGAATCATTAAATTTATAGTTTCACAACTTAAATATAATACATAATACACAATACTACCAAATCATACATTGATCATTTTTTATATAAATTTTGCAGTAAAATAAATTAATAAGTTTTATAAATTTTTTACCCAAAAGAAACGAAGACCAGACATACGAAATTAGGTCTAACAGTAAACTGCAGAACTATTTGGAAAACCAGACATAATAGCAGGAATACGTCACAAGAGACTGAATTGGCTTGGACATGTATTAAGGGCTAAGTCAATAGCAAATGATGTATTAAGGTGGACTCCTTAGGGAAGGAGGCCGGTTGGAAGATCGAAACAGAGATGGATGGACAAAAATAAAAAAGAACTAAAGCAACTTGAGATAGACAATACTTTTGAAGCCTCTCTGAACAGAGATAGATGGAAAGAAATTTGTTTTCCAGAAATGGGCTTTAATGGCCTTTAAAGCTGAAAAAGAAAACTAAGAACATTTTTCAGACAAGTAATTTTGTTTCACATCTAAGTATGAAAAATAAGAAATTTTATGCATTTCAAAACTGTATGTATAAAAATTTTAACACATTTTATAAAATACATTTACAAGCTATATTATTTTTTAGTTAACAAATTAAGATTAAAATAAAATAATTGTTGTAAATTTATAAGTTATATAGTTCTTAACATAAATAATTTAATCTAGATATTAGACATAATTTAAACTTATTTCTTAGGAGATGTTTTACAATCAAATTTAAATTATTTTTTGGAATACAAAAATAAATAGTAATCATATTTGCTAAGAGAAATATTATATATCTAATTGGTTTCCAAATAAAAATTTATTCCATATATCTTCATAAATAATTTCAAGTTCTTCGGCATATGATTTACAATCAAACAATTTACTCTCTGTTCTTAATGTCCAAATTTTTGATCTAAGATTCTCCAATAAATGTTTATCCTTCCCAAATTTTACTGCTATGTCTATATATTGTTCTTTATTAAGAGCAATTGTCTCTGTACATCCTAGTGTAGTTAATTGGGAAGCAGAAACACGAGATGCAAATGTTTCTCCTGGTAATGTTACTATTGGTACTCCAGCCCATAATGCATCCAAGCAAGTAGTATGGCCATTGCATATACAAGTATCCAAAAATATATCAGCCAACTGTATTCGTCTCATGTGATCATCTTTTAGTTCCATGTCACTAAAAATTATACGTGATCGATTCACATTTGATGATGAGGTAATACTCAATAAGTTTTTAACTCCAGCTTCAGAAAATTTAAGAAGCCACAATACAGAATTAGGAACATTTTTTAAAATAGTTATCCACATCTTAAAAGTATGAGGGTCTATTTTATATAATTTATCAAAATTACAATAAACAATAGCATTTTCAGGTAAATTATATTGAGATCTAGTGTAAAATTTTTCCTGGCCATCTGCATATGTTCTAATACTATACATGGAAGTAGGAACATCTGTTGGTAGTATAGAATGATTTGGTTTTTGGTTTTTGATACTAAGATGTCCTTTATTTAATACAATAGTAGTCTTAAGCTCTCTTGTAGGTATTTTTTGATGTTTATTATTGATACGCGGACTTAAATCACCATATAGCTGTTTATGATCACCAACAAAAACGGTTTGATTCATGTATGCTAATTTTTCAGTATAATAATGATTAAATTCAGGCGGTGAACATATTTTATCGGTAATTAAGTAATCAATAAATGTAGCACCGCTAGTACCAGGATAACCAAGCCATACAACTTGAATTGCAGCTGGTCGTAAAGCAAATATCTCATTTCTAGCCCCTTCAGTATAACCATTCATATTAATTAAAATATGAATCCCATCACTATTTATTTGATCAGCAGCATCAACTACATTCAATTTGGAAATATCTCTAAAATGATCTGATTCAGATATTTTAAACCTAAAATAAAAATTATAATTATTTATATATCAATAATGATGTTAAAAAATTATGCGAAGATTTCACGATTCAAGTATTCATACTTGGAATAGTGAATATCTGAGAATTTAGTGGCATGGTAGATAACCGGATACAATAATAATAATAATAATAATAATAACCAAATATATAAAAATATTATTAATTTATTTTATACTATTTTCTTTTAAATATTTTTTATAATCCCAATTTACATTTTTGTCATTATATCCATAGACATACATCGTGTGTAGGGAATGGGGCTTAGCCACCCCAAATATTTTAATAGTCTCCCCAAATAGAAACTTTGTTAGAAATGTTATTTGTTTTTATAATTATCTGTTCGTTTTTTTGAAAATCGTAAAATAAGAATTAATAAAAAAAAACTATTTACAATAGCATTAACAATACCAATTACATAATTTGGCTACTTGCAAAAGAAGTTCCAGTGCAATGAAAAAAATAAAAACTTGGCTAAGGATATTGTTGGTTCAAGATAGGTTCAGTGATCTTTCAATACTATATATTGAAATAGATACATCGAAAAATATAAAAAGCGATGATATTTTGAATATCTTTACTGATACAAATAAATATTTGTCATTAAAACAAAATATTAATTATTTTATAATATACGTTAGTGCTTTTTTTTTTAATACAATTTAAACATATCTGTATTTTTAATAGTAATAAGTTTTACTTGTGCATAGGAAGGGAATGTGGGGGCAAAGACCCTGCGGATTATTTTTCATTGAATTATTATAGCCCCCCCCAAAAAAAAAAATAAGTATAAAAATATACAAATTGAATAAGCAAGGCATCTCATTTTTGTTCATAAAAGTTTGATATTATTATGAAATTATTAAAATTGCATTATGTTATAAAACTATACCACCAATTAATTGTTATTTTATCAAAATAACAGAACGAATCATCAGCCCAAGAAAAAAAAATGAATGTCGATAGATAATATAATAGTGATAATACGAATATACAAATATACAAAATAATAACTATAAAGTACAATCAATGAAATAATAAGAAAACAGGATTAAGAACTAGTTAATGATTTAAGGGTAGTTAAAAAAAGGGGTTTCCATAGGCGGAAATTTGGTTGAATTTTTGGGGGGCTATAATAATTCAATGTAAAATAACCCACAGGAGCTTCGCCTCCATACCCCCTCATCACGCACAAGTAAAACTTATTACTGTTAAAAATATAGATATGTTTAAATTGTATTTAAAAAAACACTAAATAACGTATATTTAAAAATAATTAATATTTTATTTTAATGACAAATATCTATTTGTATCAGCAAAGATATTCAAAATATCATCGCTTTTTATATTTTTCGATATATATTTTTCAATATATAGTATTGAAAGATTGCTGAACCTTAGCCAAATTTTTATTTTTTTTCATAGCATTGAAACTTCTTTCACAAGTAGCCGAACTAATTGGTATGGTTAATAGTATTGCAAATAGTTTTTTTATTATTTTTTATTTTACTATTCTCAAAAAAAAAAAAAAAACCAACAAATAATTATAAAACATAAAATAACATTTCTAACAAAGTTTCAA